CAGCATATCATCAGAAAGAGGCTTGACCTGGTCGAATTCAGAGTACCCAAGAGCATCAGGCCGAGCAAGCATGACTTGTTGATCTTCAAAAGCACCAGGGTGCTAACCAGGAATAGATGTAACGACAAGTAGCATCAAACAATGAAGAGGAGGAGGTTGAGGAGGCGTCAAGCACGCTGTACATCCGCCAGGATCTTTCCATTGTGCTGACCAAATGATGCCCGGCTCGTCAGCTGTAACGCTTGCTGTGGATGTTTTCATACCCGATGCCACTCACTCCGAAGAAGAACAAATGATAAAGTAGCAGAATATATATATACATATGGTGTATTGCTTTCTGTGTTAAAAGGAGAGCACGAATGAACCATATGTGATTCGGTGAAAAGTTACGCATGTTGTGGAGATATAGACAGGAAGATATATAGAGACATGTATACGTACACCGTAAAATGCAATAAAATAGTGTCTCTGTGTGCGTAATTAATAAAGAAACCTTCACATGGTATTCACGTTCTTTTTTTTAATTAAGGATATGGAGTTGAAGGAATGGAGAATATATGGTGAATATCACGTGAAGGTTTCTTTATTACCCGCACATACACACTATTTGCTGTTGCATATGGTTAATATATAAACCACTAGCAAAAGTGCGTGTGCGTTACACTGGGTGATTACGGAGTGTGTATAGTGACAAAAAAAAAGTGTTGCTTAGGGACCTAAATCAGACTTTTTCCTGCCTGGCCGGTTGGCCCACAGCAACTTTTGGGCACCTGCGGGCGCACCCCACCTCACCCGGCCACAACCTGAGCCTGGGCCGGGGAAGCCTCCCCGCGCGTACCTCCACTTGGGGCGAATTCGGTCTGGCCAATACCGGCCATATGATCTTAGGATTTTGATCGGACAGCCGGGCGCCGACGTCGGAGGGACAAAAACTGATCCCTCCCGGCACTGGCGAAAACCCTAGCCTCCTCGCCCCCTCGCCTGAAAAGAGAAAAGCGGTGGCACCGGCGCATGCCCCCTCGCCGGTGTGCGCACTCGCCCGAGGGTGAGTGTGCCGCCGTCGGGCGGCCTTGCCCCGGTGCCCCTCCCTGTCGTCTTTCGTGCGGCGCCCCTCCCCGTCATCTTCCAAGCGGTGCCCCTCCCCATCATCTTCCTCGCGGCGCCCTCCCCTCCTCGGCGGCCCAGCTGCGCGGCGCCCTCCCCTCTGCTGGATCTAGTGGGAGGGTAGGCGGTGGCGGCCCGGCGGCCCAGATCCAGCGTCCCGGATCTAGCGGGAGGGGAGCCGACAGCGAGACCTTATCTCCTCGTGTCACCTAGTTGTGGTGGGGCCCACCGGCTCGGCTCGATTTCTAGGGTGTCGGTTTTTTAAAAAAAAACCAGCACCTATAATATCCTATATGTGTTAGTTCTTAATTAACCGACACCTATAGTATATTATAGATACCAATTTTTTATTTAAAAAATTGACACAAAATATAATATGTGTTATTTATAATCGACACCTATAATTACTTAAAGGTGTCGGTTTTTTACGATTTCAACCCGTGGAGGTGGGAAAAGGCTTATAGGTACCGGTTTTAGCACTACCAACACATATAGTGGCGATACTTATTTGATGTTTTGTAGTAGTGAGAAATGATTAATAAGTGAGATGGTATGGAAGCCATGTATGTTGAACAGGAGAAGTCGTAAGTTGAAGTCCTATATATGCCAGTAGGTCATGTTGATGGCTAAAAAAGTGCAAAATTTTTCCTCTTTTTTTTTCCAAAAAGGTGCGTTTACAATTCGTCTTCACAGGTGGTGCCAATGCGTCAACCATTGAAATTACTCGGCATGCATGTAGCCGCCGGTGTCATCACAAGTTTACTATGATAAAACTAAAAGATAGCTTCCAGAAAGAACCACAGTAGCGGAGTCTGCTATTCTGTTAATCGGAGAAACAGAAAACCTTGATCTGGAGTAGGATGGGCAGATAATACAGTACAGGATCTCGATATACCGTAGAACTTGAATTGCACCATTGATCCGTGGATCCATATTGTGCATGAAGCATCCGTGAGGCAGCTTGAATGGCCAGGTTCCTGCACAACATTTTCTTGTTTTTGGAGACCCAGTCTGACTGGTACTAGAACAATAATACATGAGTCAAGCTGTCAAGGATATATGCTGTCTCCAGATTGCATTGCTGATCATGCCAAACAAATGAAATGCCTCCAGTGCCGGCAAAGAAAAGAAATGCCTCCAGTCTAGCCAGTGTTTTCAGTTCTTGCAGCATGGTTAGTTACCTTCTTGATGCCACTCACTCACAACAAACACACATGCATGAAAAAGTTGCAGTGAAGTTGAAGTTCGAACATAGATCATTTCCCAATTTATGCGTGCCGGGATTGAACTATATTTCCTATATATTAAGTTCCCAGAAAATTTTACTTCAAATTTAGTGTACCAAACACAGGCCGATCCCTGAGCACTAATTTATAGAAAAACCAATATATACAATTACCACAAATATATACATATTTAACATGAAACATTTATTGTTTCTGTGATACAAAAGACATACTAGAGCATCCCATGTGAGACATAAATTACGAAGATGAGCATATCAGAAGACGAATACAAAGGCACATCGATGTGAGGAACATAGACCGCTCTACAGTTCATATAAACTACGACCTTAGTACCACATATTGTCGTAGCAACAATCTCTGTAGCGGACAACACGATTAAACCATGCATATATAACAACATCGATCAACTTGTTCGAGCCATCCACTAGTGAGCCATCTCTACCAATGGATTTTACCAGCATAAGCCAGTAGCCACACACAAATAGGGTCTGTTTGAGGAAGCTTCTAGCAGCTGTAGCTTTTCACATAATCTTTAGCTCCCCAAACAGTCCAGATTGTCACTCAGATTCTAAGAATCCTTAGTTGTAAATTCTAGGAAATGAATTAGAAGTCAGAAGCTGGAAAAACCAGATTCTCCAGCAAATTCTCAGAAGCTATCTACCAACCAGCAAATTCTCAAAATCTTAAAGTCCCCAAACAAGAACATAGATAATTTCGTCGCACAATTACAAGGGATGAGATTTGAGCCTAGGATGCATCAGTAATTTAATCATCTCATCTCCCAATCCTTCATGTATACAGCGTGCATTATTACTTGAACTCTAAAGGATCGACTAATCTCGAGTAGATTTTAGTATTTAATTGTAGATACTACTATGTTTTATTTTTAATATTTCATCGTTTATTATACTATGTTTTACTTTTCAAGGATTGCTTTGGCCTGTTGTAAAATAGTTAAATTTGTCTCTTTAAACATGCTTGGACCATTCGATTGATTTTCAGACCAAAATGGTAACCGTGCTCCTCTTGAGTGTTGTCCCCCAGCATGTAGGAGATCCACGAAGGTGTGTGGCATAAATCATATTCTTCTTATCTGGGACCTCTTACCATTTTATCTACGAAAAACTTTTTTCCTATGTAACAGTTGTAATTCTTTTGACTATTCTTATCCGTCCGTGTCTTACAATATGTATTTCACACCATGCACGAGTTTGAATACAAAAATTGCTAGTTCTTGCAGCATGGCCAGTTAACTTCTTGATGCCACTCACTCGCAACAAACACATATGCATCAAAAAGTTGCAGTGAAAAGTTGAAGTTCGAATCATTTCCCAATTTATGCGTGCTAGGATTGAGCTATATATATTTCCTATATATGAAGTTCCCAGTAAATTTTACTTCAAATTTAGTGTTCCAAACACAAGCCGATCCCTGAGCACTAATTTATAGCAAAACCAATATATACAATCACCACAAATATATACACATTTAACATGAAACATTTATTGTTTATGTGATACAAAAGACATACTAGAGCATCCCATGTGAGACATAAATTATGAAGATGAATGTATCAGAAGACGAATACAAAGGCACATCGATGTGAGGAACATGGACTGCTCTACAGTTCATATAAACTACGACCTCAGTACCACATATTGTCGTAGCAACAATCTCTATAGCGGACAACACGATTAAGATGGTGTTTAGATCCAGGGACTTAACTTTAGTCTCTGTATTTAGACACTAATTTAGAGTATTAAATATAGACTACTTATAAAACTAATTTAATAAATGAAAGCTAATTCACGAGACAAATTTTTTAAGCCTAATTAATCCCTAATTAGAGAATGTTTACTGTAGCATCACATAGGCTAATCATGGATTAATTAGGCTCAATAGATTCGTCTCGCGAATTAGTCCAAGATTATGGATGGGTTTTATTAATAGTCTACATTTAATATTTATAATTAGTGTCCAAACATCCGATATGATAGGGATTTAAAAGTTTTAGTCCCATCTAAACAGGACCTAAACCACGCATATATAACAGCATCGATCAACTTATTCGGGCCATCCACTAGTCAGCCATCTCTACAAATGGATTTTACCAGCATAAGCCAGTAGCAACACACAAATAGGGTCTGTTTGAGGAAGCTTCTAGCAGCTGTAGCTTTTCACATAATCTTCAGCTCCCCAAACAGTCCAGATTGTCACTCAGATTCTAAGAATCCGTAGTTGTAAATTCTAGGAAATGAATTAGAAGTCAGAAGCTGGAAAAACCAGATTCTCCAGCAAATTCTCAGAAGCTATCTACCAACCAGCAAATTCTCAAAATCTTAAAGTCCCCAAACAAGAACATAGATAATTTCGTCGCACAATGACAAGGGATGAGATTTGAGCTTGGGATGCATCAGTAATTTAGTCATCTCATCTCCCACTCCTTCATGTATGCAGCGTGCATTATTACTTGAACTCTATAAAGGATCGACTAATCTTGAGTAGATTTTAATATTTCATTGTTGATACTACTATGTTTTATTTTTAATATTTCATCGTTTATTATACTATGTTTTACTTTTCAAGGATTGCTTTGACCTGTTGTAAAATAGTTAAATTTGTCTTTTTAATGTTGCTTGGACCATTATATTGATTTTCATACCAAAATGGTAACCGTGCTCCTCATGAGTGTTGTCCCCCAGCATGTGGGAGATCCACGAAGGTGTGTGGCATATATCATATTCTTCTTATCTGAGACCTCTTACCATTTTATCTACGAAAAACTTTTTTCCTATGTAACAGTTGTAATTCTTTTGACTATTCTTGTCAGTCCGTGTCTTACAATATGTATTTCACACCATGCACGAGTTTAAATACAAAAATTGTCAACAACCGCAAGATAATTCTGCTGCTTCTTCTTCTTCAGTTTTTGTTTTATTTTGCTTCTTCTTCTTAGCTTCCATGGTTATTGTTTGACAAGCTGTTGTTTATCGTTTGATTGCCTCGATCTCATGCGAACTAAATGAAAAAGAGCTTGGAGTGGATAGATTGTTTCCTTTGTTAGCTAGGGAAACTTTCCTTTGATTTTCCTTTGGACAGTACATGTGACCCCTCATAGGTCTCGGCTCATAGGTGTCGTTTATTTGAAACCGGCACCTATTGATCTTTTCCCACCTCCACGTGATAGAAAAATACAGAACTGGCATCTTTTAGCAACTATAGGTGAATGCTTGATGAGGACTAGGGTCTCAATCTTCCGTTATGTACTCGATAAATCGATTGTGGAGACTTGGCATTGATGATCCATATGCTCCGATCAGGATGGTCGAACCTCTCCATTGGTTATCACCTAAACCGAAACACGGTTGACCTCGCTGGTAAGGCTATCTTCTGTAAGCGACTCAAGAACACAAGAAAGTGGATGGGATGGGACGAACAGCAGAAGCGGCAGTGAGCAAAAGCTGATTCTGGGCAATGCATTTGTGCAAAATCTTTTATTCACTTTCTGCTCTTATATGTGGATGATTTAATTTGTTTTTCAACGAGGAGCCACTCGAAGCATCGACTCAATTTGAGCCGGCATCGAGTCTTTTTTTTTAACTTTTTGCCTCACGTGCGCCTTTGCCGGTTGTAATCCTTCTATTATCATGGTTATAAGTTAACAAAATGCCAACGATAGCTCCGAACATCATGAAGAAAATGCGAAGCAACTGCATTGTTACCTTGCCACGTCGATAGTCACAGCCATGAATGCTAGGGGCCGAGCTCGAGACAAGATGTTGCAGAATGAAGAAAATATATACTAGAATGTAGTTGGTCATCAAGAGCATGGAGGGCCGGACTAATAGAGATAACATAGTTTTTCTTGTAGGATCAAACAGCAAGAACTAATTCAACCAGAGTGGGGATGAATGGTTGTAGTATTCAAAAACCAAAACTTTTAGCGGAATTAAAAGTTACCCTCAATTCGATGAAACGTGGTCTAACTGGAGTAGATGCATCGGTCTAACTACCTGGAAGCCGTCGGTCTAAACGCAGTAGTCGCTCTGGTCTGACTGCCGAGATCAGTCGCCGTTGCTAGTAGCCACCGACGGTCTGACCGCCGTTACTCCATCGGTCTGACCGGTCCGATGCCATCGGTCTGACCAGTGGTGTCTCGCCGGTTGGTCCACCGAACCCAAGCAAGCACAAATCGAAGAACTTTCAAAGTAGATGACAACTTTATTACTTCTCTCTGTGTTTACAAAGTGCAATAGCAGCACTCCTCATAAAAATCTCGACCAAACTCGAAACCCTAACTATTCTCTCAACTCAATGCTCTCTAAAGCGATATCGGGAGGCCACACCCTCCCTCTCTATATATATCCGACGCAGGCAGCCTAAAGCCACGAACCAAACTTGTACGTCCTAATCCCCTATGAAACCTTCCTGTACACGAAACTAACTTTACAAACTCCAACTATACCAAATTTGGACTCTTTCCAAATTTGACTCCGCATCCCATACACACACAATACCTCCATCGTATGCCATATGAAATCTTCACCAACCACGTGCATTGATCTTTAGCCTAAATATCCTGCATGATATCGGACCGTCCAGACGTTACCTTATCTCCAAGTTAACTCCCGATCCATCATCGATAATACTCTCCCGAGGAATCAAGACACCTACACATGAATCAAACAAGAAACCAAATCCCGAGCAGAAGCTATCACCAACTTGACTCATTATTGGCATACAATAGTACTACATACGCATAGTATCCATCTAGAAATCATAAACACGAATTATCAACGGATATCCAACGAAACAATCCGAAACCGAAACCAACATAGAGTGGGCCAGTCAGACCATGGTCTGGCCGGTCTAACCGCTCACACACCTCCGGTCTGACCGGCAGCACCTGCCCGGTCTGACCGGTTCGCACCTGTAAGCAGTATCTCCTATTCACCTTAAAAACAATCATCTCCAAAACCACTTCGGCAATAATCTTCAAATATTAAAACCAATAATCTCATATGCTAATGGTCCATCACGGAATAATAATCAAACACACTTTGATTTTACATTTCTAGCTCAAAAGAACCTGGTGAAAGATCGATGCGAGATGCGAATGGGCTCTCAACGCCATCACAGACAATTCGTTGCAGACAGAGTGGATGGAGGAAAATCAGCGGGCAACCCTTTCCATTTTCAGGCCAGAGAACACTGTATGTCAACAGGCTCGCAGCAACCCCATGGGTCGCAGTACCACTGATTAACCATGTATATCATGTGGCTGCTGATCACCAAGTCCTAATGCCACCCATTCTAAATCATATGCATACTGATGTACCGTGGATCAAGATCAGGTGTTTAATTTCTCTGTACGTGTTGACAAATCAGGAGAGATGTGTTGAGCTCACCGATGGCGAACTGCATGATTTCTGCCATATATCGATGAGCGGTTGTGGGCTTGTGCAGTGGCCGCCAATCTGGACGCCAAACACCAGCAGCCACACTTCATCCTCATCGCCTCACTAATACAGACGCCTCATGCTCAAAGTGTCGGCTTTAATTTAACCGATACTTATAAGGCCTTGTTTAGTTCCAAAAACTTTTCCAAAAACATCACATCGAATCTTTGGACACATGTATGAAGCATTAAATATAGATAAAAAGAAAAAACTAATTGCACAGTTTGCATGTAAATCACGAGACGAATCTTTTGAGCCTAATTAGTATATGATTAGCCATAAGTGCTCCAGTAATTCGTATGTGCTAATGACGGATTAATTAGGCTCAAAAGATTTGTCTCACGGTTTCTAGGTGAGTTACGAAATTAGTTTTTCATTCGTGTCCAAAAACCCCTTCCAACGTCCAGTCAAACGTCCGATGTAACACCCAAAAATTTTCATTTCACGAACTAAATAAGGGCTGTGTTTAGATCCAAAATTTGGATCCAAACTTCAGTCCTTTTCCATCACATCAACCTGTCATACACACACAACTTTTCAGTCACATCATCTCCTATTTCAACCAAAATCCAAACTTTGGATCCAACTAAACACAGCCAAGGCCTAAATCGATACCTATGATATCATCCGGTCACGTACAATCATACAGATGGTCCAAAAGCTAATTTATTCTACTTTGAGGTTGCACCTGTACGTAGTGCAGTGATCGGTTGGTGATGACGGAGCAGCTCACTGGCAAAGGAGCGGCCGGCACAACGCGTCATAGAACAACATCCAGCGGAAGGTCAGTGATGACGGCCTCGACGAGCAAGACGCCCTCACTGGTGTAGTCCATCCACGAGCTCAGCTATCTTTCTCTTTTCATCTCTTTACTTCCTTCCAAAGTCTTCAAACATCTATTGGTCACATTATCATTATTAGTATCTCATAATCATTAATTGACCGATAAATCACCTCACCCAACCTAGGAGAATTAACTAGCGAAAAAAATTTATCTACCAAGCTGATTAAAAAATTCCACCATGCCTTATAGCAACTTCATTCATAGCAATTTCAGATTGACTGACATCTAAACATATACCTTGAAAGTATTAACGCCATGGTTCAGCAATGTAATCTATTATATACTAAATATGTACTAAAAGTCCATTAAACTTCCTATAAACACTCTCACGCTGCCACGTGGAACTCCTACAAACGCTCCTAAGCTGCCACGTGGCTCTCTAATGAACTAATATGCCCACTTTTTAATCTATTAGATTTGTTTTTAGAAAAAAACAGACCCCACCTCTTTTCCCCCACCAGCCCATCCTCCTCCCCACCCCTTTACGTACGTACGTTGCTTCCCCCCTCCCCCCTTCCATATCTTCTCCTCTATTTTCGCCTTTCAAGTTCTTACCATTGAAAAATAATATTTTTGAATAATTTATGAATAGAGAAATAATCTTAACCTTTAGATTACACAACCTTTTTACCATTCATTAATTATTATCGGATTCATCGTGCTTAATTAACCATTTAGAACAGTACTACATTCTTTAACTCATAAGAAATATTTAATTTTTATCATATCCTAACCTTAGCATGCACTTGAAGCTGTTAAATCAAATTAGAAAAAATAACAATGTATATTATATGATCATAGATTACTTTACAAAACAGACATTAATAAATTTATGATAGATTTGACAAAAACAAAAACAGGAATATTTCCTCTATTATTTTAAATCATATCCTGACATTTTTTCATCTCATCACAACAACAAAAAAAATTGTGAATAAAATAGATAAATTAGATCATATCATCATATATCACTTCACAATCATGCATAATTAGATTAGCTCTATAATATCACAAAATAAAATACTCTAAAATATCGATATGCTAACATATTATTATTTCTCACAAAACAAAATAATGTTACTTAAATATTTTATGAAAAATATTTTGATATCATCATACCTTTAATATTTAAAGCAATCCACAAAGTCACAAACAAAAATACTCTAATTGTGATTAGCATAAAAAACATTACCTCCACTTTAAAATATCAATTTCACAATAATATTAATCTAGATATGTCCAGACAATTATTTTGATATAATTATATCTTTAGTATTTAAATGATTATAAAAAATAAATGATTAAATGAACCGGATCGATATGTCTCAATTAGACAATAGGAGGCATATATGTTGATCTTTTCTCGTCAGTCTCTCGACTTTAAACTTAAGTTAATCTAGGTAGGAGTACATAGTATAAAAGATCCAATGTACTTGACTCATGCATGGCTAAATTTATGTGTCAATTCTATGTGCACACTCAAACATATGTATTATTATATACTAAAAGTCCATTAAACATCATGCAAACACTCCTACACCACCACGTGGCCTTGCTATAAACAATATTAAGCCACCAAGTTGTGCTCTAATAAATTAGAGAAAATCCAAGAAATTCTAAAAAAGTAAAACATCTAGCGATTGATTTATACTAAAACTGGTGGACTCAATAATTTTAACTATTACATTAGATCTATTAAACTAACTAGGAAGGTAGCTCACGCATTCGCGTAGGCATGCATATTATTTTGTTTCGGAAATAGTTCTAACAAAATAGTGGGTCCAGTTGTTTATTAAAGTGACATGTGGCGTTTTAGGAGTGTTTGTAGGACTCCCATATGGTGGCTTAGGAATATTTATAGGAAGTTTAATGGACTTTTAGTATATAATAGATAAATAGATCACTCCCTCCTAATTTCTACAAATGCTGCTAAGGCAACACCTGATATCTAGAAAATATAAAAATATATATGAGAGAAAAAGCAAAACATCTAGCATTGAATTAATCAGACCCATTATTTTTAAACATTAAATTAGATGTATTAATGTAGTCCCTCCTGATAATCTCTCATGTACGTACCAGATATAAGTACTATTCATCAAAAAAAAGGAAAAACATACATACCCACATACGATTGAAAAAAGCTATTAATCTTTCCCTCCTAATCCTCAAATTTAAAACTAAAACGTTGTTATGTTTGTACATTCCTACATATAATCAGTCCATCGAGTCCTATATGACTCCTTTCACTCTTGGCAGTAGAGCTCAACTAGCCTACTTATTGATACAATTTTTTATAATGGTGTAGATAGTGAGCTAGACGTTAAAATTGTGATCGACGTTAATCTTGAGTGGCATGGCTACGTCCAACTTCACATGTTAGACAAGTGTTTATATCTAATTTTAATGATTTCTCTCATTAATTGACAGAAGCGGTATTTTAAAATATTTATGCGGTTAGGCACAAGTGAGACATGGCCACTTCAGTATAAAATGGAGGTGATTATATTAAGTTTATTTTTTAATAAGCAATTCTATCTATTAAAAAGGCACTTAGCTCATTCGAGAGAATAGTTGTGATAGGGAGTTTTTATATAACCAGGACGTAGTGATCTTTTTTAATATGAGAGACATTTTTGTAATTTAATTTAATTTATTGCATCAAAGTCTATGATCAATTTTAAGGTAGAGATTTTTTTATGATAATAACATAATCTATAGTTGTTAAATAAAATATGATAAGGTAATATCTTTTAACATTCTTTTAATAAAGAATAAATAAGTTGCCCGCGCATCTGCGCAGGCTTTCTCTCTAGTTCTGATTAAAAAATGCATTCAAATGCTTATTGCCGAACTCTCGAATAGATCTTCTCGGATCAACTGGCTTGCTTAGATTTTTGAAATATTCAACTACTGGAACCCTCGAATTGGTAATATTGAAGTCATAACACATCAACCAAATTTTACAGGATCAATTCGACTA